GAAGCCGGCTCTAGCTCTGAGACCTCGGCTGCTGAAAGCAGGTATCTGGGCTTTGTTTGGCTTCTATAATTGAAACACTGTTGCAGTCCTGCTGGCTGAAGCCTGGCTGGCTGAAAGCAGGTTTCTGGGGTTTGTTTAGGTTCTATAATTGCAACATAGTTGCTTAGACTGCAGCTGAGAGGCCAGCAGCGGCAGGCTGGGAACGTTGGCTTCCTCCTTCACTGGAGCAAGCAAGCCTCCTGTTCGCTTCAGCTGCCTGGCTTCCAGCCGCCATCTTGGTTGGCAGTTAATTTGCATATCGCCCTGATTAGCCAATGGGAAGCGTGTCGGAGCTACGGTTAATTACCATGTTTGTCTATTATTATATAGGACTAGAGGCCTGGTGCATGAATTTCTGCATGGAAGGGGTATGGCCGGCTCACCCTGATGGGGGCTGATCAGGCTGGGCTGGCCAGGGGGAGGGGCCACAGGCAGTTGGGAGTGCCAATCAGGGTTCTGATCGGGCTGGTTGGCTACCTCAGTATGCATCATAGCGACCAGTCATTTTGGTCCTTCCAGTCGTTCTGGTCACTTGACTTTTATATATATACATTAAACTATATAAAAGCTATGCACAGAGTAAGCCAGCCTTCATGCTCACTTAAAGGTATGCCAATGAACAGCAGAGTCCATTTTAAACCATAAATGAAGCAACTGTGGTGAGATCTAGAATGACCTGATGGTACATCAAAATGGATAATGCTGAAAGATTCCCAACTCTCATCTGTGTCCCATCCTCCCCAAATGCCAGGAAGCTATCAGCACACGCAAGACTATCAGAAAGCCAGCCCCAATCCTGAAAACGGAGCTTTGGCTTGATGTTCCTGATGATTCCATTCCTCCCCAGTGCCCTCCCAAGTAACCACAGCATCCAGGTAATCAGGCCTCTGAGGGAAGAGAGGAAGTTGGTGGGGCAGGATCACTTCTGTGATCTGCCCCATTGCTGCCCTTGTACCCAGCAGGTGGTCATTTGCCTCAGGGAGCATTTTTAAGCCTGGCTGTTTTTCAGAATCCTGAGCACTTTAATGGGTTTGTGCGCAGGAAGGAGGGAACAGTGCCATGGAAAACAGAAGTGCAGAAGAGAAATTTCTATCAATAGGGACGGGGCCTTGGGGAAATGGCTTCTGGGTGCATGCGGGGAGGCTGGACCCCAGGCATTAGGTCTCCGAGTCTAGGTAAAAATACCTCATCTCTTGTGCCCCATGGGCCCAAGAGCAGCAGAGATGCCCACCTTTGAGGGACTATGTGGACTTGGACACCCTAGGAGTGAGGATATTTTTTCCATTGATTTTTACAGAGCGTGGAAAGAGGGGGAGGGGGTGAGAGAGAACAGGGTGGGGAGGGGGAGAGGAACAGCAATGTGAGAGAGACACATCAATTGGTTGCCTCCCATACACACCTGGACTGGGCTCAAACCTGTAACCCAGGTATGTTCCTGTGACCAGGAATCGTTCTAAATCCTCCTCCCTGCCCCCACCCCCGCTCCACCTTGGCTGCCCCCTTGCAGCAGCTGCCTCAGGAGTGGAGAGCCTGCCCAGAATACACCAAGTGGAAGGAGCATTCTCAAGAGTGCCTGTCCCACCCAGTCCAGTCTATTTTTAACCCCGTTAGCCTTCCCAAGGGAAGTGCAACGTCTGGCCTTGGAATTCCTTTTGCTCTTCATCCACTCTTGGCTGGAAGGGGACTTGCGATGAAAGTGGCCGAGGATCAGGGCTTGAGTGTATAGCCAACACTCCTGAAGCACTGCCCTTCTTTAAGACAGTCACCCAGTGGCCTTTCAGGCAACCAGGACAGCTGTTCCTCTCAAGGGAGGAACTCAGCAGAATACTAGAAAAGTCCCGCTTACATCCTTGTGAGGCTATTTCTGATCTTGGCCACTGCCCATTCGTCTCCATTGGGATTAAGGTGATGAGCATTTCTATTTGATGTTACTCTCAGAACTGCAAAAATATCTGAATGTTATTTCAATTGGGTTTACCTAAGGGTCACACTACATAAAAGGCAAAGAAATCACCTATGATTTATTTTGCTATCTGTGGAATTTAACATTGCAATCTTATCAATTAATTCCTTGTCTTAACAGAGAAATTAAATTCTAACAAAATTATTTTGCCCCCCCCTTTTACCCCTGATGAATGGCAAAGTATCTCTTCTGTTATCTAACCAAACTCACCAAATAAGTTATAATGTGTGCACCAGGTATTTTTTTCCTGTTAATCCTCACCTTAGGATATTTCTTCAGTTGATTTTTAGAGAGAGTAGAAGGGAGGGAGGGGGAGAGAGAGGGAAACATCGATATGACAAGAGGCACATCCATCAATTGGTTGCCTCCCAACTGAGGCCAGGGATAGTGAGGCTAGGGATGGAGCCCACAACCCAGGTACATGCCCTTGCCCACAAATGGAACCTGTAATCCTTTGGTGCATGAGCTAATGTTCTAACCACTGCGAAAACTGGCCAGGGCGTGTACACCAGATATTTAACATATAAGTCTAGTTCCAAACACATGCTAGAGAATAACTTTTTTAAATAAATTTCATCAAATTCATTGAATTTGCTATCTATGGATTTAACACTGCAATATTATCAATTAATTCCTTGTCCCAACAGAGAAATTAAATTTTAACAAAATTATTTTGCCCCCATTCTCCCCCCTGATGAATGCCAACACATTTCTTCTTTCTTGACTGCTCACTCTTCTTGGCTGGTTTGATATCTTTAGGCTCTTGGGAGATCTTTTCATGGGGCAGGTTCAGCTTCTTCAGCAACAAGCAAATTCTGTGAGACTCAGAAACACAAAATCAGGCCTTCACCTGTAAGACTTAAAAAAACAAACAAACAAACAAAAAACAAGCAAACATGAACACTGCAGTAGTTTACAAAGGAACAATAGCATTTTCAAGGAAAAGCAGTGCTTCTAAAATTCAATATAGCGTATAACTCTAAAAAACCCATGGCTCTTCCCAGCCAAAGATATGGCATTATCAGGAAAAGGAGGTTAAAGACAACAGAAAGGAGTGAAAAGGAGAAAAAGGCTTCATGACTTCAGCATCTCCAGGGTGTCAACCAATCAGCATCAGCCATCCAGACTAGACCACCTGCATACTTAAATGCAACTAGGAGAAATACCCTATTTAAAGAGTGTGATATTAAAAAACATTCTCTCTTTGTTCGAGTTTATTTTTAAAAATATTACTAAACAATGTTACCCCAATAAATCTAATTTAAAAGAAAAAATAATATAAATACATATGTGTTTGTGTGTGTACCCACCATGATAAAAAGTTGTTAGTTTGAGTAATGGAATAATGGATTATTTTATTTAATTTTTTCTATGATAATTTTGGTTTCAAAATTTTTGTAAAGTAAATGAGTTACTTTTTGATCAGAAGGTTGTCCTAGGAAAACTTATTTTTCTTTGTAATGTTTACATTCTTACTTACCTTCCTGAAATAAGTCTGTCCTGGGTCCAGGTCTCCACTCTCAAATACAGAATTTCCTGCAAACATGGCAGAACTTGCGCCATGGAAAATTTACACCTCTACACCAATTGCAGTGCCATTTCTGTCCATTGTAGTATAAGGCAGACATCTCATGGTGCTGGGATTCTGAGGCTCTTATCCCTTCTGGTTGCTTGGACTTCTGCCTCCAAAACTGCTGTTTCTTTTTATTTTCTCTCATGTCATGCCTTGTTCTGCCCCCCAGGGATGTCCCCTGGGGTGTCTGTGGATCTCCTTCCTGGCTCTGACTTCCGCTGCCTCCAAGGGGGACAGTTCCCTGGGGACTCTCTGGAACTTCCTGGCTCTGGCTCCCACTGCTTCCAAGGGGGACAGTTCCCTGGGGACTCTCTGGAACTTCCTGGCTCTGGCTCCCACTGCTTCCAAGGGGGACAGTTCCCTGGGGACTCTCTGGAACTTCCTGGCTCTGGCTCCCACTGCTTCCAAGGGGGACAGTCCCCTGGGGACTCTCTGGATCTCCTTCCTGGCTCTGGCTCCCGCTGCTTCCAAGGGGGACAGTCCCCTGGGGACTCTCTGGATCTCCTTCCTGGCAGTGGCTTTTGTTTCCCCCTAGATGAACCACCCCCTGAGGTCTTTCTGAACTTTCTTTTTGGCCCTGCCTCCCACTAGCCTCCAGGGGGACCATATTCTGGGGTCTCTCTGGGCCTTCCTCCTGGCTGTTTCTGATGTCACTCATGGTAACCATGCCCTGGGACCTCTCTAGATGTTGTTCTTGGCTGTGGCTCCAGCAATCCCAAAGGGGAACTATCCCCTGGGGCCCCACTGCACTGTCTTCATGGCTGTGATTCCTATTATCACTCAGGTTCACCATGCCCTGTGGCCTCTCTAGATCTTGTTCCTGGCTAAGGCTTCTGATGTCCCCAAAGGGGACTGTACCCTGAAGGAATTCAGGGCCTTCCTCTTGGCTGGGGATCCTATGGTTCCACAGTGGGGCCATCTCCTCCTGTGCCCACACTGCAGCCCACGGGTTAGGGGTATAGAACCCCGGAGGCAGGTTAGGGGTATAGAACCCCGGAGGCAGGTTAGGGGTATAGAACCCCGGAGGCGGGTTAGGTAGCATTACTGCCCCTCCTGCTTCCATGAATACTGCTCCTGGTGGTAGAGGTGGCAAGAATGGGGATTCCGGTGGAAATGGTGGGTGAAATGGAAATGAGTATGGCACTAACACTGGCAGAGGTGGTGGCATGTTCTGGGCCCAGGGACTGCCAGGCATCCCCATGGCCTCCATATTTCTTTGCTGCTCTTCATTCAGGGGCCATGCTGAGGCCCCGAACCACCCGGGTTGAGGCCCAGGCATCATTTCATGGCTCATTCGGGCAACTTGGACCGACCCTGCAACCAGGGGCAGTTGTGAGTGAAGCATATCACGCTCATTCAGCGCCTGCTCCAGGGCAGTCCGTGTTAAGTACAGCTGCAAGGTCATGTTCTCATGCTCCACGTGAAGCCTCTGTAGCTCTGGAGCCAGACCCGAGGCGGTTTCCTCCAGCTCCTCCACCCGGTCCTGCAGCTGCCGGACCTGGCACACTAACTGCTCACGCTGCCTCGCGGCCACGCGCACTCCCAAAGCGAGCGCGCTCCAGGTGCTGGCCCTCTGGCGCATGCGCGGTACCTGCGGGTCGGTCAGGACGGCCTGAAGTCGGTCCTCGATTTCGTTCCAGGACTGCGAGCGGAGGGTCGTGTAGAAATCACGGCCACCTCCGTTCAGGAGGACTTCGTTGTTGATGAAACTGATCACCTCGTCGTGGCGGAACCCGCCGGCACAGTCTCCAAAATTTGCCGCCATGGCCGCTGAGGCCTAGTTAACCGCCCACCTCACCGGCGACGAGGCCGCGCCGCCACCGTCACCGTCAAAAATAAAAGCTGCGGCTGCCAATCCGTGCGCCCCTCGCCTCCCAGTTCAGTCTTAGTCCAGCCCCAGCCAAGTCCCGGCTTCGGCCTCGGCCTCTTTCCTACCTCACGCCCTCCTTTTCCTCACTAACACCAAAGCTGACTATCGCACCTCGCCAACTCCAAAGCGTTGTGACCAAGTGCTGCGTCACAACTGTCAGGCCGCATGGCCTTCTGGGACCCGCCTTCTTTGGCCCATTCCCTGAGAATTATGGGAAATGGAGCTGTTCCTTGCAAACGCTACACAATTGACAGGTGGAGGTAGCTCTCCAAATATCAGCGATTTTCAGGCAAAATGTTGAGATAAATAGGATATTATATAATGTTGAAAATGTCAATCCATCAAGATATACCAATTATAAATGTATATACACTTTATGCACCTAAAATCAGAGTTCAAAATATATGCCAAAAATAGACAGAATTGAGAGATGATAGAGGCAGTTTTATAGGGATAGTTGGAGACTTAAATACTCCATTTTCCAAAATTGACAGAAAGCTTTATAGAAGATCAATAAGGAAATACAAGACTTGAAAAACACTATAAACCAAATAGACCTAACAAACATCTACAGAACAGTCAACCCAAAAAATGCACACTACATATTCTTCTCAAGTGCACATTGAAGCTGTTACAGGATAGACCATATGTTAGGCCACCAAATAAGTCTTAATAAGTTTATGAAGATTGAAATCATACTATGTCCTCTGACCAAAATGGAATGAAATTAAAATCAATAAGACAGGAAAAAATGAAAAATATACAAATATGTGAAAATTAAACAACACTGCTAAATAACCAGTGGGTAAAGAAAAAATCACAAGGGAAATTAGAAAATAAGTAGAGATTAATGAAAACAAAATACAACATACCAAAACTAATGGGATTCAGTGAAAGCAGTGCTCAGAGGGAAATTTATAGCTGCCTACATTTAAAAAAAGAAACCTACAACTGTTAAATTAATAATATAACTATCCACCTTAAGGAATTAGAAGCAAGCAGAAGGAAAAAAAAGACAAAAATTAGAATCAAGAGAAGCAAAACAGAGAAGAGAAAAATATAGAGAAAGTAAATCCAAAAGTTGGTTCTTTTAAAAGATCAATAAAATTGACAAATTTTTAAGACGATTGTTCAAGAGAAAAAGAAAGATTCAATTACTAAAATCTGATTTGAAGGGAGGACATTTACTACTGATCTTACAGAAATAAAAAGGATTATAAGAAAATACTAGGTACGATTACATGCCAGCAAATTAGGTACCTAGATGAAACACAAATTCCTAAAAACCATACAAACTACCAAAATCGTCTCAATGCAATCCCCCTTAAAACTTTGAGTCCTGCCGAAACCAGTTTGGCTCAGTGGATAGAGAGTCAGCCTGCAGACTGAAAGGTCCCAGATTTGATTCCGGCCAAGGGCATGTACCATGGTTGTGGGCACATCCCCAGTGGGAGATGTGCAGGAGGCAGCTGATCGATGTTTCTCTCTCTCATCGATGTTTCTAACTCTCTATCTCTCTCCCTTCCTCTCTGTAAAAAATCAATAAAATATATTTTTTTAAAAAAAAACTTTGAGTCCTTTTTTTTTTTTTGCAGAAATGTAAAAGTTGATCTTAAAATTAACATGGAATTGCAAGGGACCCTAGTAGCCAAAACACTATTTAAATAATGAAGTTGGGGGTTCACACTTTCTACAAGGTAAGACTGTCAAAACAGAATGATACTGGCATAAAGATAGACATGCAGATCAATGGAATAGAATTATACATCTATGGTCAACTGATTTTTAACAAGGGTACCAAGACCATTTAATGGGAAAGAAACAGTCTCTTTAAAAAATAGTTCTGAAATAACTGGATATCCACATGTAAAAGAATGAAAGTAGACTATTTCCTCACCCCATACACAAAAATTAACTCAATTTTTGTTTTGTTTGTTGTTACTGTTTGTTTAGGATTGTTGTTTTAGTTACTTTTCTAAATTATGTTTGTAAACTTTTTATTCTTTAGCATATGTGGTCATAGAAGTCTGTGTTCCATAGGTTTAGTGGTCAATGGATTAGAAATCTATCGATAGCCACCTGAAGTCTCAAAATATTTTTTTAAAAAGAATTTTTAAAACTCTCCCACCCTGAAGATTGCCTCTGTGTTGGGACACTCCTTTCAATGCTTAGCCAGGCTATTTGCAACAATGCCTTCACCTTTATTTTCTGCTTGTGCAGACCCTGAAGGTCAGCCAGAGGTGAAAGTTTAGGATATTCTCTGAAGATTAAGCCTTTTCTGAGTATGTGTATTGTCTTGGGCATATGCATGGCCTTCTTGATTCCATGCTTTACACAGGAGCTTTTAAAAGCACACATTCCCCGACATATCTCCTTTCTAAAGCTGTTTCTTCCCAGGCCTTCTGATGTGTCTTGTCTGTTGTCCCGGGCTGCTAAAGCCAATACTTGTGCCTTTAAGTGCTTTTATCAAATGCTACCTGGGAAGCTGCCCCAAACCTGAGAATGGTCTGAGTTAGGAGAAACAAAGGCAGGCCCTGTGCACCAGTCCTTCAGGGAACCACCAGACAGATCAAAATACACAACCACAAGTCTTTGAGAACAAGGTCTGTATTGCCCCCTCAGGTCCTTGGCACCAGGAGTACAGGCGTGGAATATGGGGAAGGATAGATAGACTATTTAAAACACCAGAGAACTCTCTTGCTGCAATGCACCAGCTTCTTCATTAAGTTTTCCCCTGGTTGTTAGACATTTTTCGACTAGATTCCAAAGTTCTGCAAAGTTGATTCTGACAGTTTTTGCCGGCTCATTAGTTGCTTTAATGGAGGGATAAAACCGTGGGGTGCCCTACTCTGCCATTTTTGGTATAAAGAAAGCTATCATGGCCAAACCCCATTAATATTCCAGATAAGATTAATTTCATCTCGATGTCATCTCTCACGCATCCTTCCAGCTCAGCCATCACCTCCTCCAGGCAGACTTTCCTGACAACTCCACACCCAATACTGTAATTTTTTATACTTCTTCTCACCAACTAGACTTAGTCTCTTGAGGGCAGAGACTGATTGTATCCTTTCATTTCAAGATCCCTAGCACCTGACATAGTTCCAGTTACATGATAGTGTGTATAAGTGCCAAAGGGAGGTACAATGGAATAATGAAAGATATACTAGTAGAAAGGGAGAAACAGAGACAATTCCATGATTTCTATAATACTTGTTAAAATTCAGACTGAAACCTATTAGAGGGGTATCTTTGTCATGGTTTCAATACGAAGACATTAAGCTTTTAAAAGACACATACATCCCTAAAGAAAAAAGTTCACCATATCCAAACTGATACATGTATCTTTTGGGGAAGTCCTTTTATACAATGTTAAACTTTATAACAACTTCAAACTATTTCTAAACTAGTCCAACAACGCTTCATAAATGCCAAGGTATTTTAAAAGTATTATTATTAAATTTACAATGCTTCTGACCTTTAAGACCTTTATGGAATCAATTTCCACTCTATTGAAATAGGAAGGTGATATATAATGGCCTGTAAAGTGAGATTTTAAAAGTAACCTGACTGGGTTATCATTCTTGATGAAACAATGATAACATCACAAATACCATCACACTTTACTTTGCAGGTGTGCAAGTTTGCAAAGTGTGAATGTATGTTTACAAGAGAATAGAACAATTCAATCGCATAAATTAATCAATCTGAGAAACCACATTAGAAACAGAGCTAATTTTTACATGATTTTCAGTAAGTTCGTATACTTTCAATTTTAGTATAACCTCTGTCACAAAGCTTTCATAACAACTTTAAATGATAATCATTGATGATAAAGGAAGGAAAATAACATTTTAAAGTTCATCATATTAGTATGTATCTACGCTGTGCAGATTTAATCTCCCAGGAATCAAAGGTGGTAAATAGAATAGAGAAAAAGCATATACAGTAAATATAAGCTATATGTGCTGAGTACTGAGGAACAGTTTTATACTGCTTTAGGAAAATTACACCTTGTATTACATATGCTCTCTTTTCTTGTACTTTGCAACCACCATGACCTCTGCAATGTAGCTTCCCAGCAGATGCCAAGAGAAAAGAGAGGAGGCACCTGGGCAGTTAATCTCAGAAATGCTAATCAAATCCTCTGATTTTTTTTCCCATGTGAGCAGAGTACATGGGTAGAAAATCATTGTAGATAATGAACACAAGTTCAAAACAATGTCACATTGTAAATAAACATAGCTTACAATTTTATCTGGCCCATATTGACAACTTGTATGGTTACCATTGTGCATACGGTCAAATTAATCATGAAGAGGAAGCAGATCTCATGCGTTCAGTTTGTACAGACAAACTGGATTTCCTCTCTCCATGTTAGTTCTCAAGTATCTGTAAGTAACATCACTCGAACATTGACTGAAGTATTCACAATTTTCGGTCTTCCCACCCCCATAGCTGCAACAAAAACATACTCAGACACACAATCTCTCACACAGGCTCACATTCTCTGGCTGACAGGACACGCTTGGATCATCACGCTTGGAGGGGAGGGCAAGGATAGATGAGCCAAGTGCCATGGTGTGAGACAGAGGAATAGATTCTCAGGACCCAAGATTGGAGAGTCTTAAGGGTGGGGCATTAGGTAGGGGCTGAAGCAGGAGAGGAAGAACCAGCTGCCAGGACTGACCAGCAGACCCTGAGCGATGGATGAATGGACTACTCTGACACACGTTTCTGTGAAAGAGAAGGCCAGGGGCATGTATGCCAGGAGACACCAAAGCAACCCCGATTGCCTGCCTCCTTAGGCTTTTATTGTAACAACAGCTTGAACTCAAATTAACCTCTAGATACAATCAGCAGGGTAAGTATCCTTGAGAAAGCACATGCTTCTACGAGGTT